CTGAGGGGGAGGCCCCCGCCCACCAACAGAGTGTGCCTGCCGCTCGAGTAGCGGGTGTGTGCATCCTGGCTGCAGCCCTGATGGAACATTTATTTCTCCTGACGAAGCTGCAAGCCAGGCCCTGTGCGCTCCTCAGCGGTTCCAGTTCCGGTCCAGTCTACTTCCCTGGTGTCTCTAAGTAAGGAGAGGGAGACTGTGCTGGCTACAGCAAATCACAGAGGGAAGCGCAATCCATCTACCATCCCCTTTGCTTCCCCTTCTGTGGGCCGGGTGCAGCACTTCCTCATATTATGGAGCAAACCCTGCACTGTGATGTGCTTGGGATGACCTGGCACGGCTCACGTTTCCGTGTGTTCCTTCACTCCATTCACTCCCTGGGCGCTAAATAAATGCTCCTGCAGCACTGAGAACACAGCAAAGAGCAAGATGGACAAGGACTTACCGGATGGGGGTGACACCTGATGGTGGAGATGAGAAACAGATAAAGGAACACGAGTATTACAGGTTGAAGCAAGTGTTCTGAGGGAAATACATGGAATGCTGAAATAGAGTCGCAACAAGGTCCTGGAAGGATGAAAATGCCAATGGCTGACGGGGAAGGAGAGGTGACCTGGGGCAGGCTTGGAGGGGCTGGCATGAGCCAGAGCTCTTACCTTGAGCACTCAAGGTAAGCACTCAATATTTCATTCAAAGAGCCCGGGTGTGACATCGCTTTAAGTAATTATCCTGTGACCACATAAGAGGGCCTGGGGTCTCACACAAGAGTCAGGGGCTCTGAAGACCCTCAAGCTCCCATCCCCATTTTGAATGCCCCCAAGGCCCACAAAGCAACCCAACCTGCACAGCACAACTTATCAGGAATTCTAGCCTTTAGTGAGATCAATGGTTTCTCAACTCAGGGACTCCTTCCCCACCAAAATATGTATAACAAAGTGAAATTCTAAAGCATGAATTACTGATTTTGTGTTGATGAAAAATAAAATAATTAGTTTTTCAAGAGTACTATAACCAAAGCCAGCAGGTGGTCGTGGAGGTTAAGGGTGCTGGACTCCCACATGGTCGGCTGCGGTTCGAGTCCTGGACCTAGTGACTTGCTATCTCACCCTCCCACTCCCCCCACCCCGCACTCTGTCCCTCTCTGCTCAAATTAGATAAATAAATAAATAAAGTTAAATAAAATAATTATGTAAAAAAGTACTGTAACCAAAAGGTGCAATCCCTTAGCTATTGTGTAAGTAATCATGAAGTTTTTCTAAATATTCAATAAGTTTACAAGTTTTAAAAACACAAAACATAAACCAGTTTTTTTTTTTTTTTAAAGAGGTTTATGCCATATGGCATATGTGCTCACTAGAGAGAAAGACAGAGACAGTGAGAGGGAAAGTGAGAAATCACCCCCCAGGGGGGATGGCCACGCCACAATCCCTTCTCCTCCATTCTCCTCTAGGGATCTCGGACATGCACGCACACGCACCCAGTGTGATTTTCAAGCCACTGGGCCTGAGGCGAACCATGGTTGACCATATGGAAATCCAGTGATGTTACTACTATGCCATCTGCTAGCTCCAAACCAGTGTTTTGTTATATTATCAAAACTCGCAATCTGATTCTCATATTTTTGGATCTTTGAGAACGTCATTTTTGAGGAGGCATATGTAACAAGTATTTCCTTTTTTCATAATGAAAGTATCTTAAGTAAGTTTTAAAACAGCTGTACTTCATAGAATGCCCCAAAAACAAATGTTCTGTGTACTATTGATCAAAAGATGTATAAGTATGTGGGGAAAGTGGGATTCACATGCTCCATAGTCTAATTCCAGCAGGTTC